TCCCCCCCCCCCCCCTTTTTTTTTTCTCTCCAAAGAGTTAAGTAGTTATGGGTTTTGAAATTGAGCAACCTTGTGTGGAGCTTTCTAAAGTTGCAGTTTCTGAAACTCATGGTGAAGACTCCCCCTACTTTGCTGGGTGGAAAGCCTATGATGAAAACCCTTATGATGAATTAACAAACTCCTCCGGAGTTATACAAATGGGATTGGCAGAAAATCAAGTAATTAACATATATATGATTTCAAAATATTTATAGTCATATAGCACACCAGAAGATTAATTATTTATATAGTAGTGCACGTAATTAACCAATGTTCTTGTATTGTACCCTTCGTCAGGTTTCATTTGATTTGCTGGAGAAGTACTTGGAAGAAAACTCAGAGGCCTCAACATGGGGAAAAGGAGCTCCTGGTTTCAGAGAGAACGCTTTGTTCCAAGATTATCATGGACTGAAAACATTCAGAACAGCAATGGCAAGCTTCATGGAGCAAATAAGAGGGGGGAGAGCGAAATTTTTTCCTGATAGAGTGGTCCTCACTGCAGGCGCCACTGCAGCCAATGAACTCTTAACCTTCATCCTCGCAAACCCAGGAGATGCTTTACTTGTTCCAACCCCTTACTATCCAGGGTAAGAATCAAGCTAGCACCATATATTCATTACACATCAAATATATATAAGTTTATAAGTATTTTTAAAAATTTCTTTACGAGAAATACATAAACATTTAAAAGTACTTCTATATTTTATAGCCAAATATATTTTTAATCACAAATTATTATATATGGTAAAATAAATAATTTAAAAGTCATATTAACAGTAAAATGATCACAAATCATCACAATATCCTAAACTTTTTTTTAAAAGAGTTTTGGGGGGGTTTTTTAGTGTGCCAAATCTCATTAAACTTTTTGGTTTTACAGATTTGACAGAGATTTAAGGTGGAGAACTGGGGTGAACATAGTTCCAATCCATTGTGACAGCTCAAACAACTTTCAAATCACTCCTCAAGCTTTGGAGGCTGCATACCAAGCAGCAGAAGCCAAGAACACAAAAGTGAGAGCAGTGTTAATCACAAACCCATCAAACCCCTTAGGTGCAACAATCCAACGCTCAGTTCTAGAGAACCTTCTAGATTTCGTGACACGCAAGAACATCCACCTTGTCTCAGACGAAATCTACTCAGGCTCAGTGTTCTCCTCCTCGGAGTTCGTGAGCGTAGCAGAAATCCTCGAAGCACGCAATTACAAGAACGCTGAAAGAGTTCACATTGTTTATAGCCTCTCCAAGGACCTTGGCCTTCCCGGCTTCAGAGTTGGCACCATTTACTCATACAACGACAAGGTTGTGACCACAGCGAGGAGGATGTCGAGTTTCACCTTAATATCTTCTCAGACACAGCACTTGTTGGCTTCTATGTTGTCTGATAAGAAGTTCACTGAGAACTACATTGAGACCAACAGGGAGAGGCTGAGGAAGAGGTACAACATGATCATTGAAGGGTTGAAAAGCGTTGGGATAGAGTGCTTGAAGGGGAATGCAGGGTTGTTTTGCTGGATGAACATGAGTCCGTTGTTGGAGAAGAAAACTAGGGAAGGAGAATTGGAGCTTTGGAATGCTATTGTGCATGAAGTGAGACTCAACATCTCTCCAGGGTCCTCTTGTCATTGTTCTGAACCAGGTTGGTTCAGGGTTTGCTTCGCCAACATGAGTGAGGAAACACTGGAAGTAGCATTGGAGAGAATACGTAGCTTCATGGAACGTATAAAGAAAGAGTAATAATGGTACTGTGATCCTATGTTCTATTTATTGGTGTTGTTGTTCTAGTTGTGTATTGTTATTTTATTTTATTTTTTTCAAGTGGTTCTGGCCATTCTGATAAATTCTTTATTTTTGAGTAACAGCAAAACTCATGTGACGATAATATTAAGCACACGTATACTGTAGAGCAGATTCACTGCCTCATGTAGTCAAGTGTCCTAGTTGTTGTTTGCTTGCTTTACTTAAGCAAGTTCATTACTTAGAAACTCCTTTGTATGATTAGTGAAATTATGGATTAATGAAAAGTGTTGTCTTGTATTATGTATATTGATAGATTCAATTAAGTTCTTTTATTTTATGTAACGCAATTCATATTGACTAACAATATATTTAAATAAGTTTTTTCATAAACACATGTAGAAAAAAGGAAAAATAAGATGAAAAATTAAAATGATTTTTTTTATAAATTAAAATTAATTTATACATAAGTTAAAAAATTAAACTTTAAAAAGATAATAAGAGAGAGTTTTATTAATTAACTATACATAAAATTATATACTAACTATTTTTCTCATTTAGAGTAAATTAACTAGGTTCATAATTTCTTTCTTCTAATTTTTCTCATAAAATTTCTCAAACATGCCTCAATGTTAATTTGGACAACAAACTTCTATTACTATACTAATTATTTTTACACACATATTTGTTTACTTCTTTTTTATGGTATCATTTATTTTATCTTACATTATCTTCTTTTTTAATTTTCTTCTTCTTCTTCTTCTTTTGCATAGAATTTTATTATAAAATTCATTTTGGTGTATATTAAATAAAAGTCCTCTAGATCAAAGGTTTATACACACGTGTGCGCGTGTGTTTGCGCGCCACAGCTAGCAAACCAACCCTATACACATAGCTGTTATCTTCTTGTCTATGTTTGAATCATTTAAAAATGGAAACTTCTCATATTCAACTCTCATGTCAAAGTCTACGTGTTCTTGTCATGCTTATTATAATGGAATTATGGATAATCTGACTTGGTTAAGGATAATTAATTCGATAAACATATATAATACTCTGCTTTCTTGATGTGCGCGTGATGTTCCAAATTAAACAAATAATTAACAATGGTCCACTATATACTCAGATTGAGATCCCACAATTAGGCTAGTTATTGACACACATATAAAGCTTGATTATATTAATAATCTCACCACCAAACTTTGAGCTAACACTGATCAATTCCTTATTGTATTTGTATACGACATGACAAGCAGCGGTGACCTCTTTAATTTTTATATATACTGTATTGAAGCTTTAACTCATTATAGATTATGCATGATTTAAAGGTATATATAGTTACTTTGTCACTTTACATATCATTTAATTTACTCCAAAGACTCTTGCCCTTATATACTTTCTTCACTTCTAGTTAATGATACATTAACTATGACGCAAGAGATGACAACACCGCAGTTTAGCATGAGACACGTTATTAATTAGTACACCTAACGTATATATGTTTAATAGTATTAAAATAAGGGTGTATATAACACAGTCAACATTTGTAACTTTTGTACATAGTAACATAGGTATCTGGGGCTACCTTAATTATTGTTGTAATTACTTTCGGAGAATGATTTGATTTTGATAATGTTCTGTTTACCTCTCAACTAATCCTTGTTGAACTGAATGTTTTGCATATACTAGCTTTCAATAAATACGGTCAACTAATGTGAAATCCGGTTTGATTTGCATACCATATTAATCAACCATGCATGATTTGGATCGTCGTCATAATTATTTATACATAATATAATGGGATACGGCTTTAATAATTGTTTCCTTAGTTTTCAATTGCTAATACGCTTTCATCTCTAATACTTAACCTTGTATATTAAACATAAAAGTGAATGTGGTTTTAGATTATTTTTTTTCAAAATTTTTTTAAGAGATTTTTTTTAACTTTTTATCTAATTCAGTTTTTATTTAATAATTAAATTTTAATATTTTTAAAATAAATTATTAATAAATAAAAATAATATTATGTTACAATATAAATTAATTATTATAAATATAAAATATAATTTATATTAAATAATTTATATGTCGATATAAAAGATATATAATTTATATGTTTAAAAATATTTACTTATACAAATTTTAAATATAATTTATATACTCAAATATAATATTTATTTTTATATATAACTAATTATATTTTTAGTTGCATATAATACATATTTAACTTACGTAGTATCCATACTAAAATACTAATTTATATTATATACACCATTTGTAATAAAAAAAACACTCAATAAAATTACTTACTTAAAAATTTTAATACTTTATTTTAAAATTATTTTATATTTAAATTCCTAAAAAATAATATATAGAAGTACGGAATGTCTCTTTTTCTTACTAGTATTAATAATGTCAAATAATATAGCTAGTGTTGTAAGAGTACTAAAAGGAGAGTTTTTATATATTTATTAATATTTTAATTATCATAAAAAATATTAAATATATATATTTTTTAAAATGATAATCACTTTGTTTTTAATAGATGATTTCTATTTTACTTTCCAATTACTGGTTCTTAGCATTTGAATTTTTTTTTTAATTGATGTCAATTGTGGTGAAAATCAACTTCAGCTAATTAATTATGAATTGATATTTTACTATTTAAGTCCTAAACTATATATATTATATATATATAGAGAGTGTAAATATTTATAAATTATAAATAAATTTATAATAAATTATTTATACAAATAAACATCATATTTGAATATATAAATTATATTTAAAATTTGTATAAATAAGTATTTTTAATTTATGTTCAATAATTTATTTTTAAAATATTAAATTTTAATTCATAAATAATTATAATAAATATAATGTAAATTAAATAAAAAGTTGAAAATTTTTCTAAAAATCTTTTGGTCAAAAAAATATTCTTAAAAACATTGTCGTGCAATGTAGATTTTTGTGTTAAACATATATAAATTGATTATTTATTATATTTAGGTTAAAATATATTTTTTTATTTTTTATACTTTTACCTACTTTTCATTTTAGTTTCTATAATTTAAAATAGATATTTTTAATCTATTTCAATTATTTTTAGTCCTTATAATTTATGATAGATATCTTTTATTCTTATATTTGTTGATTTTTAACATTTTAGTGTCTGTTGTTAATTTTTTTTTTTAACGTTATTTCTTTTCAACTTTGTGTATCTTATTTTGAATTTATTTTTATTAGAGTTACTCTAAATTAAGTCTAAGAAAATTTCGTGTCTATCATCATTTATGAGATTCATTTCTGAGACACATTTGCAAATTAAAAATATATATTACATCAAATAAGTATTTTAAATTATAAGAAATAACAGATACAATAAGTCAAATTATATAAAATAAAAAATATTTTAACCATATATTTATCACTTTTTCTCTCTCTATTTCCTTTTTTCTTTTCATCTCATCCTTCTACCTTTTCAAGTCATTCCAAAATGGGGGTGGATGTTTAACTTTTTTAAGCGTAGACAATTTAATATTTCATCCTCATATAGAATATAACTATGCCATTTATTTCCTCTCGTGCATGTCTTTTTTCTTATTCCATCATGTAACTGATTACACTTGTTACTTTTCTCTCTTCTAAGCATAAATATATCAACTACTCTATGGGGAACTTTGGCGAGATCAAAGCTTTGTTGTTCTGGCTGATATATATATATATATATACATGTAAAACAAAAGTTACGAATTCTGGATTCTCTTTGGATAGAAAAGTGAAGATGTTGAATTCAATCGTAAATGATTGATTAGATGACATGCAGTTCCCAGAAAGTCTGAAAAAACACTATTCGCTGGCATGCTGATGGTGCAAATGCAATGATATCCTACGAACACGTATGTACGGTTTAATTGCTCGTGAAGGTGAGCAAGAAGCTGTCTTTCAAGCGTGCTTGAAATGAAAATCATACAACTCTATTATCTCCAACATAGCTACTTTTTCTTAATTTAACGAGCACAACTTTCTCAATAAATCACTACTACTTCTCTTCTTCAATTTCATTATGTTGTTTCAAACCTTTGACCAACTCACCATTTTTTCCCCTTCTAGTAGAATAAATAAATAAATAAAATAATAATTTTGATTTTCACAAGATATTTATATCAGAGTATATGTATACCATTTCTTAGTGACTTTGAATTGATAAGGAACAATATCTCATCAAAAGATTGCACAGAAGGACCATTAAAAGTGAATTCTCAATAATTAGAGTAAATGAAATAATTAAAATAGCATAAAATTTTGTACAACAATAAATGGGACATTTTAGTCCATTTAAATACAAATTAAAAGTACTTTTCTTTTACTAAAAATAAAGAGTATTTTTTTTAATAATTTTTTTTAAAAAAATATTTCTAAACTTGTATCTAAATAATAATAAAAAAATCCTTCCCTGATTCCCCCAAACATTTGTCCAAGAATTAAAATAATATCACCATCAGTTAATATATATTTTTTTCAATCTCCGATCAAGTGAGGTTATGATGAATAATTAATGACTTAATTTATATGTTTTATCATCATCCTAAAAAGTGGTCTTTTGAAAATTAGTCATTTTTTATGCAATTTGAGACCACTACCTCAATTTCTTCTCTCATGAACATTTTTCAAATACTTTCCAATACTAAAATAACATCATAAATGGTCAAAGACCTTCAAGATAAGTGTTTAATATCAAAGATCGTTGGTACAAGTGATTAATTCTAAGGAGTAAAAACTATATGTGATACAATCTTTAACTTAAGTAAAGGAATCACAATGAGTAACACCACTTTATTTCTATAGAACTCGATCCAATGAAAAAAGTTATGTGTTCTTAGATCAAATCCAAAAGGGTTCAATGATTAAATCCATTTCCTTTTCTCCAACTGGCTCTTATCCACTTATTTTGATGGAAATAATTTCCTTTAAGACCTAGAGCATAGTTCCTATAGGATAAGCCCAAGGAAGGTAGAAACTTCTCCATTGACATGTCCTACTCTTTTGGGACTTCATGCATTTAACTTTTATATAAATAAAATTTAGGAAAAAAATTTCCCCCTCCTTTCCATTTATCTTAAAATCAGTGTTATTAGGAAATATTAGACATGTTGCATATATATATATATATATATATATATATATATATATTTAAAAGAAGGGTCAATGACCAAATAACAAAACTAATTATCTGCTAAACAAAATAGTCAAAGAGTTGGTTAAAAGAAACAAATCAAGAAAATTAGGAGT